CCTGTTTGTGGTTAAGTGATAATTCTCAGGCTTCTTAGCCACTGCTGATAAGAACTGGCTTGCATTCAAATCAGACAGTGAGTCTAAGGCAGGCATTAAATTTTTGGAAAGAGGGGTGAAGTATGTTTTAAAAATTTTTTTTTTAACCCAAACAAAAGATGTCAGTTTCTTTGTACCTAATCTCAGCTTGATAAATTAGTTTTCCATCTTTTTTTTAATGCCCTCATCAAAATGTAGAGTCTGAAATGCCTCTAATTGTATAGATCGTACGGACACTGATATTAAGCCGCTTCTGTCTAAAACAAACACAAACAAACACAACTGATCTACAAGTGGAATAGAAATTCTGCTGGCTTCCTGCAGTAACATTTAGTAACAGATGTTCAATCCAGTTGTTGTGGTTTGGGGATACTGTTTGTTTAGAGGTTTTATTGCCCAATATGACATTCTTCAATTTTGTAAAAGCAAAGTTCAGTTTCTACTGAAGACCTGGTGTTTGCCCTATTTCCAGCTGGTATCACTTCCCTGCAGCTTAAAGCACACAGTCTGCTCCCAGTGGACTCAGACTGTTCTCCACCCTCTCAAACCCCCAGAACCAGCCAGGAGGTTAACTATGTGAGTTCTGCACTTTGCCTTGTTTTGAACCTCGACTTTGCTACTCAGTAGTTCTGCCTTCATTTTTCTCTATCTGTAACATGAGGATAATATGGAAGCTGCTCTTCAGGGCTGTTGTGAAGATGAAATGAAATACTGCATGAAAAGCACAGGGCACAGTGCCCGAGTGCATACAAAACCTTTAACACATGTTAGCTGCTATCTCTGGTGATTATTCTTAGATACCTTGGTCAGTGATGCCCAGTATCAGGAGTTTAGATGACATGACCTCCAAGTCCCCCTTTGGCTCAACTGTTCAATGTCAATTTTTGAGGTTTTATTCAGCTAAAACCGTTTAGAGGAACACACCCCCTCCCTTTTTCTTTGTTTTTTCCCTTGATTTCTTCCACTTCTGTCTCCTACAAAGCCAAGAAGGGTGTGACCTAATTAAAATCATGAAGGTGAGATTTTCTTAGTTACCTTTAGCCAGATAGGAGGGAACATTTTTGTTGTTGTCACTTATTTAAAGCAAAATATTGGCTGGATCTAAAATTACAAGAAAAAAGAAACATGGGAAGCCCTTTCCTCCTTTTCATGACAGAGGTAGTATATACTTGACAGCTCCACTTCACGGAGAGAATTAAGTTCATTTTCTCATAAAATGTTATAACCGAGACCTGCCAAAGTTCCTTTCAAGACCAGACAGGTAATTTCCATATTCCAATGTTTGTTAGAACCTCCAGTGCACAAATGTCCTCTCTTCTAAGTCAGTAAACAGCTAAGTAAATGAAATCAGAACTATTCTGAAAGTGTAAAGCAGCTGAAGCAAGTAAAGGGGCTCCATTTCTGGGAAGCTGTATTTTTGAATTCCTGAAGGGTAAAGGAGGAGCAAGATAAAGGGCTTCTTTTAAAGACCAACTAAGTTAACTAATTGCAGTAGTTTCCCCGGGTTGCCCTGGTTTTAAGCACAGAATATCTCCAGCCTGTGCACAAAGAGACATTTGGTCACTTGAAAATAAAGACCTGGTTAAGTTGTAATTGACAAAATTAAAATTCAGTGGAAAAGGGTACTTATATGATTTTATGAACTATACATCTTTAATATAAATAGAATAATAGAAATAGAAAAAGCATAAAGACTAAGTGCTCTAATAAAAAGCTACCCATATCTAGGCAAATACTGGTCAGTTTGTCTATGTAGTTATAGTGGTTCATTTGGTAGTACTTATTCTAATTGCAAACCCGATCCCTAAGAGGAAATAATTAGCCTTTGTAGGGCTCTTTTTGAAAACCCGAACCTTTAAGTGACACCAGACATCCCACGGGCCAAGAAACGAGAAAGTTTTCAAAGCAAGTTTAACATTTTCAATGATGGGAAGCCAAGGAAGGAGAAAGGGTGAATCGAATCGACCTTTTAGAGAGCAACACTGATGGCGTGGTGGGCGTGGGAGCCAGGTTCCTGGGCCCAAGGAGGGAGCCAGTGGAGAGGAAGCAGACCACCCTAGACGACCTATGTAAGATATGTGACAGGGAAAGGAAGTAAGGCAGTGAGACAGTAGCGAGGCGGTTAGCAAGGCCAAAAGGAAAACCTGTTCAGGTGGAGGGAAGTTGAGTACGTTGAAGACAGAGCAAAAGAAACCAGGGATGAAAGCTTACCTGGGGCTTGTTGCTAGTCTTAGCAAGGGTAAGAGCGAGCTACTCCTGCCCCTCCATTCAGACTGTTATTGACAGATATTTAGATGGAAGACACAGGAGTATCCAGGATCCTCCTCTCTACCTAGCTAGCCACATCTTTTTACGGCTTGGCTCAAGACACAGCCTCTTCACAGGCACTCTCCCGCTCCCCTAGATGACTTTGTGCCCTAGCAAAAGGTCTGGACTCTGGGAGAAAGCCAGTGTACATGGGATGTTAGTGCAATCAGAAGGCAACAGCTTAAGTGAAAACAGTCTAAGAGTAAGGAAAAATAAGATCAATTAAAAGGCTTAAGTTACAAAGGTTTTGGAAAGTTTACACATTAGGTCCATGACATTGCATGAACAGCCAAAGCAAGAAAACTAATATTCAGAGTCCCTCTTCTCCAAACTGGGATTTTTGTTGTTGTTCTTTTTTTGCTTTTAGGAAAACAGTACTATTTGCAGGGCCATCCCTAACGTTTGCAGGGCCTGGGGCAAGAGTACAAATGGAGGCCCACTTACCATATGCCTAAGTATTTAAATGTGCTACATCATGCTAACAAATGTGGCACACCCATGCCCCTTTTTATCCTAACCTGGGTTCCATCCAGCACAGAGTGGCCATGTGAGTACACAGCTACAACCGTGCCCCGTGCACACCCTCGGGCCTAGGGTCGTGTGCATCTGCAGCTTCTTTTGAATGACTTCTTATGAAACACTTCCCTACTCTCCCCAATGAGGCTTGAGGCTGTTTGCACTGGGAATTCAGGGTCCTTCATATCAAGCGTGTTCCAGAAAGTGGAGGGCGATGTCCCCTTGGCTCATCAGAAACTTAACCACAAAGGGTGCAGCCTGGCACTGGAAGGGCCAGGTTGGGTGCCTTCGTGACTGGGTTTAAGAGCCATACTGAACACAATTTCTTTTCCTGGAGTTTTGTTTTATCGTTGAGTTCTCCTGATTTGACTTTCTAGTTTTGAGCATACTGACTTATACAAATAAGTACTGGACAAGGCTTCTTAGAAGGCTTCCTACAATATTACTACATCAGCCCTTTGCAGGCTGAGGGGCTCTAAAGAATTGTTCCTGCTGAGCAAACTCATTCAGACCCAGGTTTGGGGACTCCAGTGAGGGTTGAGAGACCTAGCCTGGGGTGTTCTCTGGTCCTATCCAGTTGCTTTATTAGCTAAAGCAAATTATAGATTATCTCCCGACAAAGGGAGAGTACAGTTCTCAAAGGACAGTTAAAATGGAAGTATAATTTTCTGATGGCTTCTAAAGAAGAACGGTTTAACATATGTTATTTAGATATAATCTAAGCCACTTTAGGACTTAAGTCTAGCCATTTAAGGTGGAGTAGGGAGCAGATGCCTTCTCTGGTCTCCTTGTGCAGGCAGAGGCTGAGATTTGTGTTAGAAGGATCTGAAAGAGGATTTGGGGTGCAGCTCAAGAACATTACACGTGTGAATGATGACACGTGAGGGGTAGAGCCGCAACAGTTACCTGGGGCAGTTAACCAATTAAATTCAGGTCTGTGTCCCTGAAAACTATTTGCTTCATCTTTACCCAAACTGGAGGCAATGATGCAGGTGGTATCCAGAGTCTTGATAGGTTTCCAGGATTCAGTAAATTCTGCAGAAATGATTGACTTTTAAAAGTAAGCCTTATGGTTGAACACTGGACTATGAATTTGGCCTGAAACAGCTGCCTTTTTCTTGAACCCACAGAGCAACAGGTACTATCAGGGATACCGTACTTGTTTCATCGGGTTGCTATGAAGATAATTAGGATACCCCAGACTTTGTGTCGCCCCCACCCCAACAATCCCCATTAGGCTGGCCATGTGCCTGCTCGAAGCCTTCCCCAGGGGAGCTGAAAACGTCTGTTTTAGTCGGTCTGGCCCCAAATAGGGCCTCATTAAATACTGTCCAAATGAATGAAAGGCTGCCTGCTGTTCTCCTTTTGTCTAAGCACACTCCCGCTCTGAGCCCCCGCAGTGATGCCCAGGCCCCCAGTTCTGCCAGTCCCTCTGCGGCTGATGGAGGGGCAGCTGCTGGCTGAAGAATGAGTAAGGGAAGCCGGCGGCCCCGACGCGCAGGGAAGAAGAAAAGGAACCCCTTGGAGACGTGCGGCCAACAAAGCCAGACGCAGGCGAAGCCACCCAGGAGAGCCCCGCAGCCCCGGCGCGGCAGCGGCAGCGAGGGCGGCCCCCCGCGCGCCTCCCCGGCCAGCCGGGCCCACGTC